GGGATCTTGGGCACGCACGCGCACGTGTCCGGCGTGAGTTTTAAGCCACGGGGTCCGGGACACGAACCGCGGTCGACTACGTGGGAGTCCAGCGACATAGCCATTACGCTAACCGCTGGTTCCCGACTTCTCTTGTTTTTATAGAATGTATTTTCACCCTTCTCTTTCTTTCCTAAGCTACCTGTAGCTTCTCTTATTTGACTTCAGGCTGCGTGCTCTGAGCCAGACAGACATATTACTGGCTAGGACACAGCCAGCCAGACATGTCACTTGGTAGAGCTACTTCTGCTGAGGCTCAGCTCTCCTGCCTCTACCTGTTGTTCAGGTGTGGACTAGGTGCTCTTCCTGGCATCAGTGAGAATGTATGGAAAACTTGCAAGATAGGCATGGTGTAATTACTTTTAACCCAGAATTGGGGAATTAGTTGGATATCATGGCCTTCCCCCTCCCCTGCTGAATTCTTCAGTGTGTATTTCTTAGTTAGACCATTAATAGGACCATTTTCTTGCAGCAACTTCAGAAGATTTGGTATGGGTACCTTCATCGACAATTCATATTCCAGTTTCTCATGTCAACACAGTAGTGTCCTTAATAGCATTTTTGCCCTCTCAGTTGTAGTTTCTTTTTCATCCAAGCATTGGATTTAGTTGTCTCTTTTATCTCCTTTATTCTGGAATAAATAAATTTATATTCTCTCTCTCTCTTTTTTTTTTTTTTTGTCTTATGACATTCCTATTTTTAAAGATTGCAGTCTTCTTTTCTCCTTTCGTTGGTTTTATAAGAAAGGTTCTCATCTTTGGTGTGTGTGACGTCTCTTCATGATCAGATTCAGGTATACTTTCTATCTATACTAGTACATAAACGGTGGCTGTATGTTTCTAAAGAATCATGTTATTTCCATTGCCCTTTGTTGGTGGTGTTAATTTTGATGACCCAGTTTTGGCATTGTCTTATTTTTCAACTGCATAGCCAACTTCTCCCACCACCAATAAGCAGTCTGTGAGAGGACCCTTTATCGCCCTGCAAATATCCTGTTCTTTGTCAGTGTTTTTCCCTAGATTTCATATCCTTGGATGGTTCTTGCAGGTTGGTAAGATTTGCCCAACTCTAGCACTTCTGTGTTTAACATTCACTTAGGACTAGACATTTTCTTATATTTCAGTGTGGATTTCTAAATTTCTTTTTTTAATGCTCATTACTATCTCTCAGTTATTTTTGTATGCCAGTTGTCTCCGATTAGCCAATGGGATTCCCTTCAAGCTGGTTCCTGTCTCTTTATTGCCAGTACCTCTCTCTCTCTCTCTCTCTCTCTTTCTCTTTAAATTCCTTCCTCTCTGGCAAAACAGTAAGCTCTGATCTTGTTTTGTATTTATTCTGTCTCAGCCTGTTTTCCTCCCGTGGGGAATGGTGTTAGAGACCGAGGTTCTGGTGCTAGGTGCACCCAGTGCCTCCAGCCTCTGTTTTTGATGCATTCTTTCTTGAAGGGGGAGATAGCTTACTTGATCTTCTGAAGTTTCTCTCAAATTTAAGTACCTCTTTTTAGAGAGCAATAGGATTTGGTGTTTTCCGAAAGACTAAGAATAGAGAACCTCTCAGTCTTTTGCATGCTGAGAGAGAGTGAATTCCTGTTTATGGACAAGCAGTCTAGGGCACTTTTTTCTTTTCTTCTCTCTCTCCCTTCTTTAATCTTTACAACTCTATAAAAAGAAGCTCTGTTATCCCTAATTAAACACTGAGTAACTGAAGCTCAGTAGGGCATGCATTTTTAACAGAGACATTCTGGCCCCTCTACTAAAATCAGAACTTGGCGGGGATTCTCTTCATGGCGAACAGAAATGGGGGCAGAAGGACAGTTTCCCCTGGCACGTAGGCTTTTATAATATGCCGCTTGCCCTCGAGTATCTGGGGATGGAGAGAGGAAAGAAGTGTATTTTGTTAAAAGTGAAAAATAGCCCAGAGAAACTCCAGTAGACAGCTAGCTTTCTAGCAAGAGAATAAAAACATTTAGCTTTCCATCTTAAAGTATCTCATTGGTCTCCTGGGAAATTTGGTCCTTCCTAATTGTTTTGAAAATGTTTGAAATATCAAAGCAGTCACCAACATTTCATCTTAAGCACTTTTGTTTCATGTTGTCAGTCTTTCATGCTGTGTGTGCTTGATCATAACTCAGGTTTTCCTCTGGATCTCTTACGCTGCGAAAGCCTTCTTGGTTTGGACCCCGCGACTTGCAGCCGAGTTCTGAACAAAAATTACACATTGCTTGTTTCCATGGCTCCACTCACCAATGAAATCCGGCCCGTCAGCAGCTGCACCCCTCAGGTGAGGACCCTCTTAGAGGATCTGCTGGGTAGAGCTGGGACGTCATTCTCCCTCTTAGTGACTTAAAGAAGTGGTTGAACAGTGTATGGTCTTAATTCTCAATGTGCAGAAAGCATTGACTCCGAAAGCAATTTTGTATTACACTGTTTGAGATGATATTATATTCAACCTGTGAAGTAAAATTGGTATGTTTTATTTATGTATCTATCACCTAGTGGCTTTTGCACATTATTTAAAAATTTTATTTGTGTATAGTATTTTAAAGAGAATGAAGATACTCTAAGAAGCCTGTATCATTTTGAGAGAGAAGAGAAATTTACTTAGGAATAATTGCGTTTTGGAAATGGGGCTGCGTTGCTAAATAAACTAAAAAGAAAAGTTCTTGAATGCTTACACTCCCGTTAACTCTAGAATTTATGTGTGAAAAGCACTTCTGGTCTTTTACTTTTTAAGAAGAAATCAGTTACATTTATATACTTAGCAAGAAATTCCTGGCCCGGCCCATTTTCAGAGTGGGATAAGAGTGCTATTCTTCAGTGCTGCCTCCTACCTGATTTCCTTCTTACACAGGGTTTGATGAATAGGAGAAAGGAAGGGATTCTTGTACAAAGTTGGCTTTGATTCCTGTGTGATTCCGGCTGCCTCGGAGAGCAACTGTCCACACGCCACATTTTCCTCTGTAGTCAATAGAAGACATAGAGCTGTATTTAACCAACCTGTTTTTACAAATCATTCTTTGTGGGCTCCCTTACTTTTATTGTTTTTTTAACACACCTCTAGGCTTAGTAGGAATTTGTGAACTATCTGAAAGAATGGTAAAATGGATGGAGCATAGGTAGTCCCATTTGTGAAAAGTCACATGGGGCTAATGATAATAATAGCAGTTTATGCTTTAAAATAGACCCTATTACATACCAGGTACAGTTTTAAGCCTTTTTGTATAGACTTGCAATATCATTATGAGGTAGATATTCTATTCTTATTTTATAGATTGAGTAAAAGTCACAGCTTAAGTAACCTTCATAAAATGATATGGCCCTAAGGATGACACCAAGACTTAGACCTAAGCAGTTTACTCCAGAATCTTAATTTCAATGATAAGATACGCTTCTTTGTCCCTTTTTCTTTCTTTTTCAAATTTAATTTTTAAAAAATTTGCTACAGGTGTGTGACCTTGCCAGAGAGAGACAGGGGCGAGAGAGAGAGAGAGAAAGAGGGAAAATGAGAAAGCATCCCCTGGGAGGATGGCCACACCGCCATCTCTTTTCCTCCATTCTTCTGTCAGGATGTTTGGTATGCATGCACACACACAGCTTGTTTTTAAAACCACCAGGTTGGGACTTGAACTGTGCTGTTGGCCATGTGGTATCCAGCTGCCTTAACCACCACTCTACCACCTGTCCCAAGATACACTTTCTTAATTTCACTATAAAATTGAACTAGTCTAATGGCAAATTTAAAACTTATTTTGGGGACCAGCAGATGGTGTGACGGTTACGTCACTGGGTTCCCCTACAATTGACCATGGTTTGGGTTGCAGACCCGGGGCTTAAACTCAGACTGGGCACAGGTGCGTGCATACCCAAAATCCCGAGAGGAGAATGGAAGAGAAGGGATTGCAGTGTGGGCATCCGTCCCGGGGGGTGATTTCTCACTTTCTGTCTCTCTGTCTCTCCAATGGGTCCATATGCCCTATAGCAACAATCTCTCTTTAAAAAAAAATGAAAAACTGATTTTTGTAAAGATAATGACAGTTGACATTTATATGAGGCATCTGCTATTTATAAGACAAGAGTTGGTAACTTTTGAAATTTGGTTTCTCTAGATAAGTATTATAACTTTTATCTTACTGTTTTTTGATTACAGCATATTGGACCAGCTATCCCAGAAGTCAGTTCTGTCTGGTTTAAACTGTATATTTACCATATAACTGGGCAAGGACCACCATCTCTTTTACTGTCCAAAGGTACAAGACTCCGAAAACTGCCAGATATATTCCAGGTATGTTCTAGAGGTTTTGTTTTTTAAATTATTTTTGAGGAAAATAGAAGTTGGTGAGCAGTATTACATAACTTTCTTAACTTTTTAAAAAGTTCTAAACATCATTTTATCTATCACTCATTTCTTTCCAATAGGGTTTTGATCGATTACTAATAACATCTTGGGGTCATGATCCTGGGGTAGTTCCTACGTCAAATGTGCTCACGATGTTGAATGACGCTTTAACACATTCTGCAGTTTTAATTCAGGTACAGTACCTCATTTGAAATAATTTTGTGTTTTTGTCGTAAAGATCATAATTCACCTGCCTCTCTACTGAGTTGCAGTCTGATGTCAGTAATCTGAAATTTGTAAAGTTGAAACGTTAGGAATTAGAGGTCTCAATTCCAGGCGTGGCCATTTTGCCTGGCAGTATGTGGGTGGTGGAAACAACATGGATTTTGAAGTTAGACTCAGGTTTGAATCCCAGCCTCACCTTCTGCTAGCTGTGTGGCCAGTGTTTTGTTTCAAAAATACTAGCTTTATTGAGGTACGATTCATCAATTTAAATGGTCCAATTCAGTGCTTTTTACTGTAGTCACAGGTATGTACAGTCATCAACACGCTTAATTTTAGAACATTTTTATGACCTCAGAAAGAGACCCTGTACCTTTTAATTATAACTTCCCCATTTTCTCCGCTGTTATCATTCCTCCCCACCCTCCTGAAGGACACTCATCTATTTGCTGTCGCCGTAGATTTGCCTACTCCGAGCATTTTCTGTACCTGTAATCACATAATACCTGATCTTTTGTGACTGACCTCTTATTTAGCATAATGTTTTCAAGGTCCATCGTGTTGTAGCATTTATCAGTATATTGTTTTTATGGCCAAATAATGGTCCATTGTATGACCAAGACCTCTTTGCCGTTGCTCTGTCCTGGTCGGCTGCTCACTGCTTTGAGCTTCGGTTTTCTCTGCCGTGCAGTGAGGAGTGTGACTGCCAAGGCCTGTTCTGCAGGCAGCACTCAGCAAGTCGGGCCTAGCAGGTGTTTGTTTTGTTGTTGCTACAGCGAAGTCAAAACGGCCAAGGCAGTAGGTGTTGCCTGTTATAGAGTGCTCCCCTAAGGAGTGTAGCATTTTCTATAAAAATAATGCCTCCTTTATTAAATTTTATGGGAAAAACTCACCTTGCTGCAATTTTAATTGTGGTACTAATTATTAATAAGATCTTGATTAAAACTGACTTTTTGCAACTATTTGGTGTAGGGTTATATTATAAACCTATTAGTGAAATAGAAGAGAGCCATTAGAAGTATACTCAAAATATTATGTGAACCGACTAAATGATTCCTCTTGGATATATCAGGCTTTCTTAAATTTGAGTAAATATAAGGGTCTCTTGTAAAAGAAAAAGTAGTATAGTTTCTCAGTCTTAACTTAAATTTTCCACTATAATGGTACTAAATATATGTAAACATAACATTTTTATGCTTTACTATTTTTACACAACTACAAATCCAATCCAAACTTAGGCATTAAATATAAGCAAAACTGTAAAACAAATGAAATTCAAAGGAACAGTGTTTATTGAATGTGATGGGTTAAATCAGTATAGTGATATTTTAATTTTTGAACTCAGTACATTCACATGATTCAGAAATAAAGCCTCTGTATTAAAAAGTATACAGAGAAAAGAATCCTCTGTAGCCAGCCCTGTCTGCCTAGTTCCCACTCTCCATCTCCCTTCCAAATTAACTATATTTTTTAGTTTCTGCTATATTCTTTTAGAATTTATTTTTGCGTATGCATATAGTTTTACATTTGTGTGTCCTGTGTTTTTTCCATTTAGCAATTGGGTAGCTTTCCATTTCAGTTCATATAAAGCTTTCTTTTTTTTTTTATGAGGCTGCATTGAAAATATGTACCATAGGGGCCAGCAGGTGGCATGGTAATTAAGATGCTGGACTCCCACATGGCTGACCACAGTTCCAGTCCCTGACCTGATAGCTTGCTTTCTCTCCTTTCCATCTGTCTGTGGTGAGCGCATGTGTCCTGTAGCAAGTTAAAATAATAATAATAATAATAATAAATAATTCTAAAAGAAAGAAAATATATACTATAATTTATTTCAGCCCACTCCTATTAGTAGACATTGTATGACTGTTTCCAGTTATATACAGTTACAATGTTGTAGTAAGTAACTATGAATATGTCTTATCAGTTCATGTTTTTGAGTTTTACATTCCTAGGGTTCTTTCATCACTTTCTGTCTCAGAACTACGGCTTGCACCACTTGACCTCATTCAGTCTTTACTTAGCTAACACCTGATTTGCCTATTTCTTTTTTTCCTTAATTGTCAGAGGGTACATGCACTTGCCAGAGAGAGAGAGAGGAGAGAACGGGGGGCACACCACAACCCTTTTTCCTCCATTTCTCCTTCCTGTCAAGAGTTTTAGGCACTCGTGCAGATGTACCTGCTTGTTTTTCAAGTTGCTGGAGCTGGGATTCTTGCCATGACCAGCCATGTGGGATCTGGCTCCCTTAACCACTGTGCATTGGGGCTGGTCCCAGCTCTTTTCATTAGCTTGTATGTTAGTGTACACATACGATTGTGATTGCTTGCTGTAGGAAAATAGAAAATTATCGAAAGCATTTTGATCGAGTACTACTGTGGAATGCACCATCACAGGGCACAGTCTTACTTATCATTCGAATGTCAGTTATTAGAAATGGAGAAATGTATACCTTTTGACTTCTGTCTCCTTATGTTTAGGGCCACGGTTTGCATGGGATAGGAGAGACTGTCCATATACCATTTCCATTTGATGAGACAGAACTACAAGGAGGTACCTTCTCTTAACTGAATCTGTTTGACCTGTTTATCGTTAATCTTGTAAGCAGTTTTGTGGAAAACACTGCAGGAAGTGAATTCTTAAAAGGTTTAAGTCCCATTAAAAGGCTCTTTCCATTCTACTACTACTAGGTTTTGCAAAAAGGTCCTTTTGTCATGTGCTTTTTCCAAAAAGAACTGGCATACTAAGTCCCATTTAGGAAAGAACACTGTTCTGCCTTGGAGATGAAGCGTATAGGAGAGATTGGGCTGGATGGAGAGCAGGTTTTCTGTATGTTTAGCCTTTCATTTTTCTTTTAGCATTTACTTACTTGATTATTGAGGGAGAAGACAAGTCTAAGGGAAGACTTCATGCTTAGAAAGTTTATTTTTTTTTCTCTTCCAGTGTTGCATACTATTTGGGGGGGGGACTTTTCAAAGTGTTCAAAATTTTCAGTGTCATTTTACAGATTAATCAATCTATGTGCACACAGTACATACATGTAGACTACTGCTAGAGCTTTTATGTTTTGAATTTTAACTATTAGCTTTTTAACATTTCTGGGCAATTTATAAGTGGATGCTTATGAACATTAGTAGACCATAGTTTATTGGGCTCTTGAATATGTTTCTTGTTTCAGCATGTGTTTGCTGTTGAATATTATTTTTGCAATTAGAAATGGGATATTTATGTGTGCACACAGGATTTGAGCTAAATTAAGTGCTATAATTAGAATCACAGTGGGGGGAGGGAGGAAGCCATGTTGCATATCTTGCTTTTAGAATTAGATGTAGGCTACATGTGATGAAAGACGCTCACAGAACTTCTGTAAAAACAAATTCATCTTCATTTTGCCTAATATATAAGATACCTTTTCTCTGTTGAATGTTAAACATTTATGTGTATTAAAAATGAAAAATACTAAAGCATTCCTTTTCTTGCTTTATGTAAAACTACAACATTGTTACCTATTTTTTCTAGTTCTTGGAGCCATATATTATTATATAGATTTTAGAGTGTGGTGAATGGTTCAAGTAATTTAATTATGTTAACTCATAGAAGAACTTCTGTTGCTAACCACTTTTTCCCCTCTTCCAAAATAGAGAAAAGGAAGAAAGATTTTACAAATATCTTTTTCCTTTCACATGACTGGTTAGACTCCAGAAGCCTTTGTTCAAAATTAAGATACTGGGGCCAGCAGGTGGCGTGGTGATTAAGGTTCTGTATTTCTACATGGCCAACCATAGTTCGAGTCCTGGACCTAGTGGCTTGCTTTTCTCTTTCTCTTTTTCTTTCTCTCTCACTGTTTCTCTCTGGTTGGGTGCATATTCCCTATCGCCAATTAAAAAATAATAATAATAAAATGAAGTAATTCTTTTTATTAAAGAGAGATTTTTTACTATATGGTGCATGTGGGCATCAGAGAGACAGAAACAAGGCAAGAAATCATCCCTTGGGGGAGATGGTCACGCTGTAGTCGCTTCTCTTCCATTCTTCTCTTGGTATTTTGGGTACGCACACACATGCATCTGGCATGAGTTTTAAGCTGCTGGGTCCAGGACTCAAACTGTGGTTGACTATGTGGAAGTCCAGCAATGTAACCATTATGCCATCTGCTGGTCTCTAAGTAATTATTTTTAAAAAAAGAAATTCTGCCTGTTGTGAATAAATATGTACAAAACTCAAAAGAGTTTCTCTTCCAAATAGCTCCTATTTGAAAGTACTTCTCTGTAACTAAACTTTGTGATTTAATCCTCTAATACTTTATAAATTCTAAGGAAAAATAATAGTTTGCCTGAAGATGTAGTATAATGACAGTAGGATCTTAACATTTATAAAATCTCAAGAATCATTAGTGGGTCTTTTGTCTTAGCTGTGTGAATTTTAAAAACGAGGTATCATTATATTTGCATGTAGAGCATCTTTCTCTTTCACAGGTTCATATATGTAGAGGAACCAGAGTTTATCTCTCAATAGTTTACTAGGCATATTATTTCAAGTACGTTATTAACTTTTAATAAGAATAACAGTTTCTTACATTAATATGTTTCCTGATAGAAGCCCACCAATTAAGTACTTGAGCCACAATAAGGAGCCTAAGTACTTTTCCACTATTGGCCCTATTTGCTTACTTAGCAGGAAATCTGTTTTGCTATGGCAGATGCCTTCCGAAGACTGTGAAGATGTTATATGGGCGCAGCATTCTTTTGCATCTACGTGTATTTTTTCATTGGAATCAACCTTGATAGATTAACGTGTAAAAGTAGTTTCAGAAATTGTTCAGTATAGAAAAGCATTTTTGGTGTTGTGTTATAAACTGCTCACTAGTAAGACATCATCTCTTTGTTCTTAGATTTCTCGCGTGCCAACATGGGCATTCATAAAGCGTTGCAGATATTGAGGAGCAAAGTCGACTTGCAGCACTTCTGTGGATATGTCACCATGTTGAACGCGTCCAGCCAGCTTGCACATCGAAAACTCAGTGATGCTTCTGATGAGAGAGGTTAGCCAACAGAGGCTTCTTTTGAATTAAGATCATTGGTTTTGAATTTAACACAGTCTTAATATATTAAAAAGAAAACACCAGAACTGTGTGAGGATGTTGGGTTATTCAATTCTTTTTTCTTTTTTTTGGAGAGGTTTTTGCTATAGGGTGCATGTGCTCGCCAGAAAGACAGAGACAGAGAGAGACAGAGAACAAGAAATCACCCCGCAGGGAGGATGGCCACGTCTCAGTCCCTTCTCCTCCATTCTCCTCTAGGGATCTTGGGCACGCACGCACACACACGCGCCTGGCGTGAGTTTAAGCCACCGGGTCCGGGGCTCGAACCATGGTTGACTACATGGGAATTCAGCGACATAACCCTTACGCTAACTGCTGGTCCCGGGTTATTCGATTCTTAATGCGTTTTTACTGAAGGATGAGAAAATAGACTGTAACATCATTGGGCAGATATCATTTGCTTCAGGTGCAGAAAATAATGCATAACCAAAGAAGTGGTGACCTAGGGTTGGAATACAGAATGGTTATTGGACCATAGCCTTTTACTGTCATGTCTGTTTAGAGGTATTAAATTTAGAGAGTCTTAAGAGTGATGGTTTCTTTGTAAAAATGTTTCCAAAATAGACTTAATAGTTTTTCTCTTTCAGCTTTTCTCTTTCAGTCAGAGCACCATTACTTCAGTTTCCTGGGGCTAAAACCTTATCTTTGTTTCATCCTTCTCTTATTCCTACTGTGTTGAGTTACTTTCCAAGTTCTGTGAATTGGGCTTTAGAATTGCTGCTCATATCCATTTCTTCTCTCTGTTTTCAGTTCTCTGTACTGCCATTGTGGTCTGACTCTTTATACCTTACACATATATTTTCACAGCCATTTCTTGCTCAACTTTCCCGGCCTCTCCTTTCTATCTCCTCCAGCCTATCCTGCATATTGACAACATCTGATTTTCCTTAACTGCCATTTGTTTCTTGTTAATTTAAAAAATCCACTTCCAAATCACCATCTTCTGCTTACTAATTGGTTCTGCTCTGGCATAATACCCATTTGTATGTGACTTGGTTGCCATGGTGCTAGTTCTGGCTCACTGACTCTTGGAGACCTTTCAATTCAAGTGCCTCTCGTTGACTGACTGTATTTCATGAGTCTCTTAGTTTGACATCCTGAGAAACTGTGATTGGTTACTAGCTATCCAAGGATTTGGATCCGCTACCTTTGAGTTAGGTAACTACTTGTCCATTTTTCCTTTGGCCAAAGGAGTTGAGTAGCCTTCAACAATTTGACTGCCAAATATTGCACAGGCGTTTTTCAGAGTAGAAGGCTATGTATGGTGTAGGGAGTCGTTTCAGAGTGTCTACTACAGCTGTCATTTTAAATGTTATTCATTCCACAAACATACATGGAATATCTGCTTGGGTGCCGGAATTAATTAAATTAATAACACCCAATTTTATTCCAAGGAGTAAAACCTTAGAAGGGGAGACCAACAAGTGAATGAGCAGACACTGAAGTGTTAAATGACTGTGACAGGGGTCTGCTTAAAGTGCTAATGCAGGACAGAAAAGGTGTCTCTCTGCCCACCTGAACTGCCTGAGAAGGCCTCTTAGAGAAGGTAAAATTTGAACTAAGTTTTGGAAAGTGAGGAGTTGGGTCAGCAGATGGTGAGGAAGTTAAAGCAGTTGGATCTCACATGGCTGACTGTATGGTTTGAATCCTGGACCTTGTGGCTTGAAAAATACACCAGGTGCATGTGCACATGTTCCCAAAATCCAAGGAGGAGAATGGAGGAGAAGGGATTGCGGTGTGACCATTCCCCTATGGGGTACTTTCTCTCTCTCTTTCTCTCTTTTTTTCTGTCATTGGCAAACACACATGCCATTTAGCAAGAAAAGGAAAGCAATTTAGGAGTTATCTTTACAAAAGATGATGGTTGATTTTTTTGGAGAGCAGAGCCTTTCAGGCAGTGGGAAACAGTGGCTCATCTTGGCCAAAACAAAGGATTTGTTGGACAGTAGTAGAAGGTAAGAGAAGACAAGTAGTAAAGTCTAGGAGATCTCCCCCACTCCCAGGCTTACTTGTTTCTTTTCATGAAGGGTTGAGGAGATGGAGGGAGGTGAGGAGCTGTTCTTGACAGGGTTGTGCCACTTGGAGAGTATCCCTCTAGCCAGTGAGAATCACAGGCATGTGTGTGTCCGTGTGTACCTCGCATGTTCACACTGACAGAGGGTTCAGATCTGGACCTCTCCTGGGTTTATACAGTGACACCTTCCCAACTATGCCATCCTGCGGGGCCAGGGAGATCTCGATGGATTTTATGTGCTGAAAAGTTAAAAAAAAAATAAAGAAAAAGTGGAACAATATAATCAGACTATATACTTCCATGGGGATAGAAATGACTTCGCTTTGCAAGCTAAATAACATGATTGAATGTGTAAAAGAACTTGAAATTTAAAAAAAAAAAAAATGACTTCAGTGATGAGCCTAGTGAAAGGCAAAACTGTGTTCCGCTTTTTCAGTTTTGATTTCTTTAGGCCAGGGTTTCTGAACCTCAGTACCTCTTGCAATTTGAACTAGATAATTCTTTATTGTGGGAGACTGTCCTGTGTCTGGTAGGCTGGTTAGCATTCAGAGGTATTGGCAGCATCTATTTTCATTCAGTGTAACCAGTGTCCCCAGACATTGCCTAATGTCCGTTACCTAATGTCCCTTAGGGGACAAAATTGCCTCCCTGGGTTACAACCCGTTTTACGTTTTACACGTAAGATTGTTTTTCATGATCTTCATTATTGCCTGCAGTTCTCTTTTCCATAGGACCAATTTATCAACAGTGTCTGCTGACTACTAGAATCCTAATGTTGTGCATGTCCTTTAATTTAAGGAGACCCTGATTTAGCTTCCAGCTCAGATGTAAATGGGAGTACAGAGTCATTCGAAATGGTCATTGAAGAAGCAAGCATTGATTTGGCGACAAAGCAAAATGCTGGTAAGGTGTTAAAAGTTCTTTGCAATTATATTAGACTAGTTTCTGAGGTTTAACTTTTCTGTGAAGTTACTTGCATATCATTTGTTCTTTTTATCCTTTTGTTTTTTTTTAAAAAAGAATGATTTATTTAATTTAATTTGCTTTTATTTATTTTTAAAACTTGACCAGAGAGAGAGAGAGAGAAAGGGAAAGTGAGAAAGCAAGCTGCCAGGTCCGGGACTCAAACCACATTTGGCCATGTGGGAGTCCAGCACCCCAAGCATCATTCCACCTGTCACCCCCTGTAGTAGACTTTTTATTAAGAGTTTTCTAAGAAATATTTTTACGTACTTAGAATGATGATTCAAATATTATAAAACTATGACCTGAGAATTGTGACTTGTATTTCATTATTCCTGTGGAAATATTTTGATTCGTTCTTGCAGAAGTCCTTAGTACCCTGTTTTGGACAAAAGAAACTTTGAACGTTAATGAATGTTCTATACCTTCTGCCCAGATAAGTACATTCTCAAAAAATGTACTGGCCTGTGTCAGAGGTTAACTGGCCCCCTTGGGGCGTCCCTTCCTTGCCGTGCCCATTGTTGTGGGTCTCTAGGAGGAGGACTTTGAACCTTAACTGTCAGTCAGGTGATATGTACAGATACGGATGCGACTCAGCAGTAAATTCATCCTTTTCAGGTGCCACCACAGAAGCAGATTGGGTTCCTCTTGAGCTGTGCTTTGGAATCCCACTGTTCAGTTCTGAATTAAATCGGAAGGTTTGTAGGAAAATTGCTACACATGGCCTTTGCAGAAAAGAGAGGTGGGAGTTTGTTTTCTTTGTCATCTTTTCTTGTTTTTTTTTCCCTAAGCTAAACTATCCAGCTTTATTAAAGATTGAAATACTTTTCATAAACAGTCATTGTATTTCAGGCAGGACACAGGAAGTCATTAACAGTATACAACAACTTTCAAACTCCCTTCTTCAATTTACTACCAGAATCAGAGAGCCACTATAAAACCGAATGAAGCCTTCATTTGGTGCTCTGAATAGGGAAAATTTAGAGTGAGGGGCGACATTTCACATTTAGCATGTCGTTTAGTAACTTTTCCCAAAAGTCAGCCTTGACTTTCGGGAAACGAAAATGGCAGAATTATCAGCCTGAAGATCCAACACTATAGAAAAGGAATGCTGCTCTTTGAAGGATGCCATCTTAATGTCATTGGGAAGTCCAGATTGCCTGACATACTGTAACCCATTTTATTGTGGTCAGATCCCAACAGGTCACTCACTGGTTTAAGGGAGTTAAATCTATGCTAACGTCAGAGAGAAGAGGACATAAAAATGAATTTCAGGTTTTCCACACCACAAGGCATCTGTGCCAAGGTGGTTGGTTATGTGTGTCAACATCTGGGAATCCCTCCTCTGGGGAGCTATGAGGAGGTCTCTCAAAACTAGAAGGGAAAGATGTTCAGATCAAGCCAACTTCAGAGACAGTCTATTAGAGACAAATGCCCCTTCCCCCCAAAACAATGAAGTGTTCTATGTACTAACAACATAGCTTAAAAAAAAAAAAAAAGATAGAGCTACTGTAAAACTTTAAAGATTGCTACTATAATTTTTTATCAATTCTCATAGCTGAAAAATAGCTCGTGTAGGTGGGTTGGTATGTATGAAAGCTGTCAGATCAATTGTCTTCCAGTATGACTGGGGCATTTGAGGTTTGTGTCACAGTTACCATCTCTCAGTGTCTACTTCTTTATTTAAAAAATTTTATTTTGTATTGATATTGATAACTCAAATGTCTTTTTAAAACAGTAACTTGGATGTTGGTTATTTACAGAGTGCTCTTTTTATGCACTAAAAGCACTGAAATTGTCTTTGAAAATGTTGTGTGTGATTAACAGGAGGTATACATATTGAGTCTCCCTTATCCCAAATGCTTGCGATAAGAAGGGTTTCAGGCTTTGAATTTTTTTTTTTCTGATTTTGGAGTATTTGCATGTACATACGAGATACCTTGGGGATGGGACCCAAGTCTTACTGCAAAATTCATTTATGTTTTATACACTTTATACAAATGAGATAGTTTTATGTAATGTTTTCTTACTGTAGCATTTTTTTTTTTTTTTGGAGAGGTTTCTTTTTGCCATAGGGTGCGTGTGCTCGCCAGACAGAGAGAGACAGAGAGACAGAAAGTGAGAAATCACCCCCCATGGGGGATGGCCACACCGCAATCCCTTCTCCTCCATTCTCCTCTCGGGATCTTGGGCACGCACTCACCCGGCGTGAGTCTTAAGCCACCGGGTCCGGGACTCGAACCGTGGTCGACTACATGGGAGTCCAGCGACCTAGCCGTTATGCTAACTGCTGGTCCCTTACTGCAGCATTTTGACTGTGACCCATCATATAAGGTCAGGTGTGGAATTTTCTACTTCTGTCATCATGTCAGTGCTGAAAAAGTTATAGATTTTGGATGCTCAATCTTTATATATATGTAAATGCATTTAAATTGCTAAAATTAAACTCTTGTGAGATACTAGTTCTTGTTATTTGTCTTATAATTTTCTCTCTGTTTTTCAGCCTTCAAAATCTCTTACATTCCAGTAGAAAACTCTCTCTGCAAGTTCTTAACTTTGTTCACTCATTCCAGGTAACAAAATCCAAAACTATCCAGTGGCATTTTTATAGTACTTGATTGTAAGCAGAACACTTTCATCGTTTTGAGTCTCCATAGCAGTGAGATATAAAATAAACATTAATTAATTTTTATAAATGACAACTCTAGGTTTCAAGAGGCTAATTGGTTTACATAGCTTGTCGGCCAGGCCTTCACAGACCAGAACTTGCATTTTTTGTTCAGTGCCAGAGCTTCATTCAGCAGAAGTGTGTGGAGCAGCTACCGTGGGCTGTGTACCGTGCCAGATGCTGCTCTTGGGTGTGGTCACGTCCCTTGACGTAGTTCTCCACTGCCAGGAAGGAGAACTTTTGTGTCCGTGAAAGCCTGTGCTCTGGAACTTTTGTCTCACCCCCAGGGGGAAAAGGTTATTCTAGAGTTACTTTATAGATAAACCTTTAGAATGGAACCTTTCTGTTCAGAATATTTTTTTCAGTATTACAAAATCAACATGTTGGATTTTTTTTTTTTAATTTAGTTTTGTTTTAGGGTGTGTATAGTCACCAGAGAGAGATGAGGAGAGGCAAAGAGAGGGAAAGTGAAAAATCATACCTCAAGGCAATGGCCACACTGGGATCCCTTCTCCATTCTCTTGGGATTTTGGGTGTGCGTGCACATGCGCCTGGTGTGATTTTTCAAGCCACGGGTCTGGGATTCAAACCATGCAGTCAGCTATGTGGGATCCAGTGCTTTAACTTCCATGCCACCTACTGGCCCAGAAAATTTTGGATTTGTATTTTTATTAATTCATTTAATGAACATTTGAGTAAACCCTCTGCCAAACCCTTTGCTGGGTGCTGGGGCGACAGTGGGTGATGTATAAGACATTAATGGAGCTTATAGTGTTGTATGAGACAACAGCTTGATAAACATTAAAATATGTAGGTAATTACAGATTTTAGCAATTGCTTTGCTGGAGCCAGACTATTATGGAACCAAACCTAACTTAAATAGGTGAGAGAATATACAAGCTGAACTGCAAAGGACAGGATAGAGGGATACTCCAACAGATACAAAGGCTCTGTGTCAAGAAGGTGCTTCGTGTACAAGGAAACAGAAGAGTCAGCCGGGCAGGGCCATAGCTTGGAGCACTTTCTGGAGCATATGAAAGAATTTGTATTTTATATTGAGTGCAGGAGGAACAGAAGCATTTAGATGGGAGAGACTTTATTTCCAATTGACTGTTTTAAAACATTCATTACTGTTTGGAGAACAGATTAGAAAGGGACAAGAGTGGAAGTTAAATCGGTTCTGAAGCTGTTGTAATAGCCTAAGTAAGCGATGGTGGTAGCAGAGTACTTTTTTTTTTTAACTTAAAAACATAAATTTTGCATATTTTTTCCCTAATGAAGACTCATTTATTACACGTATACACTATTGCACTAACAAATTATGAATATTGTAAAAATACACAAAAGTAGGTATTTTCATAATGGTTCCATATAGAGGAAGTCTAAACTTCAGTACTTATCCCACTTTGAAGATCAGTGGTCTTGACTTTGGTGAAACAATAAAGTAAACTCATTGGAATGTGTTTGAGATAGACTGAGAGCACTTGGCACATGTGAGGGAGAGGTTGGAGAAGTGGAGGGAGGGAAGAATCACGAGTGATGAGTTTGTCACAATATGGTAAGTGTGGAACGCGTGGGAAACCATGGAGAAGGAGATGTCAGAGGCGTTTGGGCCTGGAGGTCTGTGCTGAATGCATGATCTGAGTTGTTGTGCTTAGTGTTGTGGTTCGTTTAGAGGTTGTCCCCAGTGGTAACACTTGAGCCTGGCCCAGTCTTCTAAGAACTAACTTTTTCCTATCTATATTTTTTCAAAGCTCTAATTGCAGTCTGACTTGTGTGAGTGACTTTTCATATTCTAATTCCTGTCGTTGGTTACTTGGGGTTCACAGATAGATCTTTGCATCTCCTATAGTGCTTTGCATCCCATAAGCATTTCTCAGGAAGTCAAGGTCCATGTTTCTCACTAGGTACGTTACGGGACGTGGGAAAGTATTGATGACAGGGTCATTCTCTCTCCTTGGTCTTGCAGGAAGGTGCTTCAACACTGGATATTCACACGGAGCCCAGTTTTTCCAGTCTCCTTTCACAGTCATCCTGTGCCGACGTTGGAGTGCCACTTCCTGCCAAAAACTTGATATTCAAAGATGGCGTCTTATCAGAGTGGAGTGGACGGTCACCCTCCTCACTTCTTACTGCTAATCTCCATTTGCAATAATTTGGTCACACCATTTGTTGCTCACACTTTCTGCCTTTTTCTTTCTTAACGTTAGCTTTATAGTGTTAGCCACTAAAAATCAGCCTGCTGCTGCAGGGGATTCCTGCTTGACCGATATTAAAAGTTTGGGGAACATGTTCATGTTTTCTGAAGTTTTGCTCTTTATTGCACATCTCATTGCAACAAAGTGCTTTTTAGCAGCCAGCACTGCATTTTTTACCTTGAGACAATCTGCATTTCTTTTATAAAACTAAGAATATACTTTATAGGCTTTATAGTGACTGTTAGGTTTGTAAGCAGTCACTATGAATATTGCAGTGGTAATTTTATATGTTAGTTTATCGAACATAAATCTTGTTTAATTTTATATTTTGTTACCTACACTTTAGGGATCAAAGGGAGAGAAGGAACTCTTCCTCTGAAAAGGCTTCTTGGTACTTCACGTAGTGAATCTATGAAACAGTACACATCCAGTGTTGAGGAATGATATGGGGCATTAAATTCCTGTGGATGTCTGTAAATTATGTTTATCAGTTAAACATTGGTGAGGGAATGGATAAGTCAGCATAGTTATGTAGAACTTCACCTTGATTTATAAGGTCTTAAGTCAGACTGTGACTGTTCATTGACATCTCATGAGGAGCTTTGGAAAAACATTCTATTTTTAAACAACGTTTATATGTAAACTTCTGTTGTCACTCACTTTGGGGCTTTATATTTTCATAGAGTCTTTACAGAAAAATAGAATTTATTTTCCACTCTCGTAGCTGCGTTGCTGCACGTTTTTACCGTGATTTATTTTGTGTTTCATAGCGCTACCAATGAATTGTTATGGGAGTTGAATTTGTTGTTTTCAAACCAAGGATTGTGATTTTAGGTTAGGATTAAATTTTAGGAGCATTAAGGTTGTGTCTTCAAGTCAGAACACTTTAGTGATAAACCTGTTTTGAAGACATATTCTTAAGCAGTCTGGATCTTAAATTTATGTGAATAGTTTAGAGCAAATGAGAAAGAAAAATTGAATAATTACCAAGTGTTTCTTGAGTCATTGATTCTTTTAGTATCTCAAATGTTAACTAGAATAATTGGAATCACTTTTCTGACTTTTCAGGCTACCTTCCTTGGGAAATTTGTGCAGTGTTATAGGTTAGTTTAGCTGCTCTTATAGGGTAATGGTTTGCTAGTTTAAAACTGTAACCAAACTAACTGGTCAGACAATATATATCTAAAACACTTAAAGCACTAGAAAATTTGGGAATGTTATAACCTAAACATTTTTGCTGGTAATTTCTGTTATTTATAGAACTGATATTTGTGTATTTAATGTACTTCTGGAAATATATGCCTTTCTAAAACTGTTAACATGCATTCTATACCATGGCCCATAGAATGAAATATTGTGGACCAGGTTACCTGTGGCACAGTGAGTGCTGCGTCTGGGCTAAGTTGTAGTGAGTAACGTTTAATTTTCTACTTTGTCTTAGATAAGGTAGAAACCATGTGTATGTCATGTCTGTCTATAACAAGAAAAATATATACTAATACTAAAGTAATTTCTATGACTGTGAATCACTCATTTATTTTTCCAATAATTGATACTGTACATTCCTAGTGCTAGTAGGTATATATGTATGTGACTTTTATAGGTTTTTAACTGAAAGTTGTAAGTATTTCATTTGATCAGGGCTCTTTAATCTCACTTTGCTTTGTTTGAATTAACTGTAGTTATTTTATTTATTCCTGTATTGATAATAATAACAGGAGCCAACCATAATGACATGTATACTAATACAGAACTAAGCCTTTGGAGTTGTTGGCAGTGAACCCAGTTGGTGGTGGGTTGAAGGCTCTAACTATGGCAGTGGTTTGCTGCTTTACTTCTTTTGAGAGAGAATGGAAGAACATACAGAACCAGATAATGGCCAATTTTAGGGAAAGTACTGAGAAAACAAGAGGTCCACTCTGGTTTCTTGAGAGAGAAAAGAGCAATCGTCTGATTCCCAGCTGAAGCTCTCTTACACTCTTCTGGAGGGAGAGTCTGCCTTTTTAGAACTGTTAGCAAAATGTGAAACACTGATGTTTGTGCTTTGCTTGCTGATTTGGCCTTGTTTCTTTTTTACACTAACTCATGAAAAGCTGCATCTCTTAACTCTTACCAGTTGATCCAGTTCATCAAAAAGATAAATTTAAAATGTAGCTTTTGTTGTTTGCCAAAGAAAGTTCATGGAAATTTTTATCCTTTTTCTTTTGTTTTCTTTTTTTTTTGCAAATGTTGACAGTAATTTTATTTGGTTTCATGCCACTTCCCCTCCTTTTTTCCCCACATCTCCTAAATGTAGCTTAAACCATAGTGAACATTCTATAGAAACCAAGAGAACCAAGAGAAATAATAAATTTCAAAAAGGTCAGAATTTAGTATGGTACAATTTTACCTCTCAAATGAGTCTAAAGAAAATAAAACTGTATCATTAAAAAATATGATCATCTGATTTTCTTCCTTTTTTAAAAATATATAATCAGATGTTTTTGTATTTTGGGGGGATATTGGTTTCTTTTACTTGATGTTTTCAGTTTTCTCTGCCATTCATGTTTCTTTTTTATGTTCAGTGTTTCAAATACAATTTGTATTTAAAGATTTTAAAGTACCAAAACCGTCACTGAGTACAGTGGATTGTTTTCTGTTATGATGTTAATATCATACAATGAAATGTATAAAGTGTTGTCAATTTGATTATTGACACATGTAACATGTTTACAAATAAACTATGGTGTTGATCAAGTTACTGTGAATGTGTGTACAGTCTTCTGGAAGTTCTTTTTCCTCTTGTTTACTTATTCCTTTCTATGAGAGGGAGACATAGGAACCCTCGACAGGATCTTCCATGCTGCTTTCCAGACCCGCAGCCAACCAGGACTGGAGGTGCACCCTGTGTGTTCAGGTGGAGCTGGGTCACAGACCAGAGCCTTCCTGTGTGGCCTGTAGCCTTATGTGGCGTACCCCTCCTGCCTGTACTGCTGCAATTGGGCCTGAAGTTCATTTTTCAAAAATATTTATTATTATTATTACTTAAAAAAATTAATATAGGGCATATGCACTCGCCGGAGAGAAAAAGAGAGACTCCAGGTCCAGGACTCAAACCGTTGTCGGCCATGTGGGAGTCCAGCACCTTAACCACCGTGCCTCCTGCTGGGCCCTGAAGTTCGTTTCTTATTTTTGAATACAGTAATGCTTTCAGTGCTGTAGGTTTTCTATACTTTCTTTTTTATATAAAGAACTTGGAACTTCAGATTCACAGAAGGGTCATGAGTTGGTCTAGCCCAGAGCTGTGCCTTGTACCCTACACTGAGCTTCCTGATACAGTAGTCCCCCCTCCTGTGGCTGCACTTTTCGCAGCTTCAGTTACCCACCGTCTTGGCCACTGTGAAATACTTGAGTCTGGTACAGTAAGGCAGTCTGAGAGAGAACACAGTCACGTAACTTTTAGTATAGTATGCTGTTAAAATTGTCCAATTTTATTCTTGGTTATTGCTGTTAATCTCTTACAGTACCCAGTTGGTGATTAAACTCTATCGTAGCCCTATGTGTATAGGAAAAACCCAGCTTATACGTGTTCGGTACTGTCCGCAGTGTCAGGTGTCTGCCGAGTCTTGGGCCACATCCCCCATGTGTAAGGGGTATGTCATGCTTACGTAAACTATGGCTGGTCTGTCAAAACTCGGAAATGAACACCGGTACAATGCTGTTTCTAAACTGCATACTTGGCTTTCACCAGCTCCTCCTCTGTAGTGTCCTCCTGTTCCAGGATCTAGACCAGGATACCACGCTGCATTTATTTAGTCGTTAATGCCTGCTTCATCTCCAACGCGTGAAGGTCTGTCTGTCAGGACCTTGGCACTGTGAAGAGTACTGCTCAGTTATTTTGCAGAAAGTCCCTCAATGTGGGTTAATCTAACATTTTCCATGACTAGATTGATGCTGTGCTTTATCAGAAAGGCTACCATGAGGTGAGGGGGATGTGGCAGGTGGCGTGGTGATTAAGGGCACTGGACTCCCATATGGCCAACTGTGGATCGAGTCCCGGACCTGGTGGCTTGCTTTCCCACTTTCTCTCCCTGTCTCTCTTTCTCACTCTGTCCCTTTCTGATCAAATTAAAATAAATGCATAAATTGAAAAAAAAGTTTAATAAAGTAATCCTTTAAAAAATATTTTTAAAAAAGTAAAGGCTACCACAGGGACTACGCACCTTTCTCATCAGCGTACCACACGGGTACGTGATGTCAGTTTGTGTCACGTGTCAGGGTGGTGCTCCTTCATTGGTTAAGAGAGTATTGGCTACATTTTTCCACTGCAAGACAACATTTCACCCTTTTTATACTTCCTTTGGCAGCAAGTTAAAAAGTAAAGCCCACACTCAAGCGGAGGGAAATTTAGCTCCAGGCCTTGGAAGGGGAGGAATCAACATATTGATTCTCCCATTTTCGTAATTATTAGCCACTTACTTCTATTACTGTGGCCCCACGGGTATGTATCTGATCCCTTGGGTTAAAATCCAATGCTGTGGGCTGGCCCCGTTACCTAGTGGTTAAAGGAGCCAGGTCCCACGTGGCTGACAAGTTTGAAAAACACAATGAACACGTGTGCATACCCCAAATCCCTATGGAGTGGAAAAATAGAGGAGAAGGGATTGCACCTCACCAAGGGGTGCCTTCTCCCTCTGGCATTAAAAAAAAAAAATTAAAAATCCAATGCTGTTACTTCATTGTACAAATTATTCAGCTTTAGCCATTGGAAACAGGTTGAAATCTTTTTTTTTTTTTGGAGAGGTTTTCGCTAAAGGGCGCATGCGCTTGCCAGACAGAGAGAGACAGAGAGACAGAAAGCAAGAAATCACCCCCCAGGGGGGATGGCCATGCTGAAATCCCTTCTCCATTCTCCTCTCGGGATCTTGGGCACGCACACACACGTGCCTGGCGTGTGTTTTAAGCTACCGGATCCCGGACGTGAACCGCGATCGACTATGTGGGAGTCCAGCGACATAGCCATTACGCTAACTGCTGGTTCCCACGTTGAAATCCTTTTCACATGGTCTCTTTTTTTGTTAAGACCATTTTCTTTCTTTCTCTAAAGATTTTTATTTTTTGTCAGAGGGTGTGTCTTGTAGCTGAGACAGAAGTGAGAAAGCACCCCTTAAGGTTAAGGAATGGTCATGCCACTGTCTCGGCCACTGTCCCTTGCCCATTTCTTTTCTGGACTTTGGGCATGCGCACATGCGTGTTTCTCAGGCTGCCAGATCCGGTACTCCAGTCCCACAGTCGGCCATGTGAGATCCAGCCACTTTCACTGCCAGGCCGTGGGCCCGCCCCATGTGCTTTCCAGCACTGCAAACATCGATTCTAGCCCTGCAGGCACTGCATTCTTTAGCTGTGTAACAGGATGAGTTTGTCCCAGGAATGTGAAGTTGATTTAACTCATGTAAAACGTGATTCTAATTTTACTAATATTAAGAAAAATGGAATCATCTCAATAGAGGCAGGAAATACATACGATAAACTGCAAAACCCAATTAAAAAAGAAAGCAACTAGGAGTAGGAAGGAACTCCCCCCCACCCCCACCCCGTCCCCGGATTTTTGCCATGTAACGTCTGTACTCACTGGAAAGAACGGGAAGTGAGAAGTCATGCCTCCAGGAGGGGATGTCCACACTGCAATCCCTTTTCAGCTGTCCTCTCAGATATCTGGGCGTGCTACACACACAGGGCCAGCATGTTTTTCAAACTGCCGGGTCCAGGACTCGCATCACAGAGTCATCCATAACTAGTGCCTTAACCACTATGGCACCTTCTGTCCCCAGGAAGGAACTTTTTAATGTGATAAGGGATCATATACCAAAAACATACAGCAAACTTTTTTTTTCTTTCCTGAGAAATCACCCCCTAAGGGGATGGTCATGCTGCCATCCCTTCTCCTCCATTCTCCTCTTGGGCTCTTGGGCACACACACACACATACACACGCCTGGTGTGTTTGAACTTGCCAGGTCCGGGACTTGAAATACAGTCAACTATATGGGAGTCCAGTGATGTAACCATTACTTTACGCCATCTGCTGGCCCCCCAACATCCGTAATGGTGAAATGTTAGAAACATTCCCTTTTGGGGGCCAGCAGGTGGTGTGGTTAAGGGTGTTTGTACTCCCACATGGCCGACCGCAGTTCGAATCATGAACCTGACAGCCTTCTTTCTCACTGTGCCGTTCTCTCTCTCCCTTTCTCACTCTGTCATTCTCTGGTCAAATTAGAATGAATGGATGAATAAATAAAATCCTTTAAAAAAAAAAAAAAGACGTTTCCTTTTCAGTTCAGTCACTACATAAGGATATCGATGATTTGTACTTTTATTTGATCTTGTTTCAGCAATTAGGGAGGGACAAGTATTTTTAAATTGCCTTCGGTCATGGCCTATATAATTTAAATTTTTAAAATTTTATTTTTAGAAGGCTTTTTAAGATACAGTTTTATTCTCATTATGAAATAATTCACATTCATGGACAACTTGGAAAATGCAGAGACGAAAGTGTTAAATGAGGAAGAAAGTGTTAAAAAAATTTTACTTCTCAGGTAAATGCTGGGAGCATTTTGGTGTGTTCCACCGCTGGGTGTTTCCCCCACTTATTTGCAAATACTTACAAAACACAGACACGTACCGCCTGAAACATTTTGAGCCATATTCCACATGAAACTTGGTGTCTGGCTTCAACAGAATCAAGTTTAGTTAGGAAAAAAAATTTAAATTACAGAGTTTTTCCATTTACCAAATATTCTCTGAAAATGTGCTTTTATCATCAGTGAAAATTTTCATCAATATATTGCTTATTCTTAAAGCCCCAGTTAAATAAATTGTCTTAAAAAGATCTCCAAGATCAAAAACTTTAGGGACCAGCAGTTAGCGTAATGGCTATGCCGCTGAACTCTCATGTAGTTGACCATGGTTCAAGTCCTGGACCCGGTGGCTTAAACTCATGCCGGGTGAGTGTGCGTGCCCAAGATCCCAAGAGGAGAACGGAGGAGAAGGGATTGCAGAGTGGTTGTCCCTCCTAGGGTATAATTTCTCACTTTCTGTCTCTCTGTTTCTCTGGCGAGTGCACGTGTCCTATAGCAAAAACCTCCCCCCCCCAAAAAAAGATCAAAAACTTTACTCATACCTTAATTCCAAAAATAAAACTTAACTTCATTTTTTAAAAAAGTCTGTTGATGAGTGGCTCATTATCTTAGTCCAAATATCTCCAGATGGAAGTATAATGAACTCTGGTTCTGAATAAATTTTTTTAAAGAATTACTTTATTTAATTTTTATTCATTCATTTAATTTGACCAGAGAGAGACAGGGAAAGTGAGAAAGCAAGCCACCAGTTCTGGGACTGGAACTGTGGCCACCCATGTGGGAGTGTCCAGTGTCTTAACCACCACGCCACCTGCTGGCCCCCTTGAATAAATTTTAAGAGACTTAGGTGCAAATGATCAAGTGTTTGAGTGTTATGGGAAAAAGGACAAAGTTTTGTTAAGTACCAAGTCTCCTTTAAAATGTTTTGTGGTTTTGGGTGTTACACCCATGAAAAAAAAAGAATGTATAGTTTCCAAAAGTTTGTTAAAAATAGAATTAAAGTACAAGTTTATTTTAGGTGCAAAATTTTTTGAAATTCCTGTCTAATTTCTTTCATAATACACGTCTTCTATAATACATGTCTTCCGTAATACACATCTTCCACATGGCTGGCTACATAATCC